TGAAACGAAACTAAGTCCGAGTTGATGCGATTTGTCAGTGTCTCGGGGGCCCCCCTCGACTGTTCAGCTGCGGTGAGGAATTTACTTCCGACCATGCAGGGAGCCTGCTTGTGGCTTACCCTGACCAGGATGATCTTTCTCTATCCATCTGGGATCAACCACTGAATGGTTCAGCAGAGACCAGAACGGACGACCAAAGGAGCGAGATGAGAAGGATGAAACAAGTTCCCTCTGAGACCTTTAGCACAAGGCACCGGGTGACCCCAAGCGTGGGGGGACAGGATTTCTGCATAACCCTCTTGTCTGTAAGATGGGCTAAATCAGATGGGCCCTGCATCTAAAAAGAAAGATTTTTCTGCTATACAACTTCTAGATGTTAGGATCCATATAAAAGCCAGTGTCTTTACATGGAATCGGAGAAATATCAAGGAAACTATTCAGTCTGCTCCACTCCTAGATTCAAAAGCCGCTGCACACACCTCAAAGACTTGCTTTTTGCCTGGCAGAAAGAGTTTGAGGCAGAGAATCAAGAGACAGTTCTGTCACCTACCAGCAACCTGACCCTGGACAAGAAAGCCACTTAACCTCTCGCTACTTCAGCCTTTTCACTGGGGAAACAGGGAAATTAGCACTTGATGCAAACTTGCATGAATGTTACCAAACTAACAGAACCACGAGATCTGGGGCCACGGAAGGCCACTGCACAGACCGTGGCTTCATCTCAGCAATGACAGGCTCACCCCGGACCCTGGATAAGAAGACGCCCAGAAGTGCAGTGACAACAAGCCCCTAAAGACCTGGAAAATCCCCACACCCAAGGGCCTTCCCCAGCACCCACACTTCAGCCCAGTGCCAGCCAGGGCCCAGAACCACGGCACAAGCACCCTGTGTCGCCCGTTCCTGCAGGGTGAGCAGACAGTGCTGCGTGCGCTGCAGGGCCGGGGTCTCAGCACAGCTGGGCTCTGAGTTTTCTTTTATTATGGAAAGCGAATCCATCTCCATGAAGCTTCTGCCTTGGGTCCCACTGAAGCCAGCCGGGCCACCCAGGACAAGCCAAGGCTGGACCTCACACGCTTGGTGGGACTTCTGTCATCTGCACACATGGCAGGCCCCATGCCCTAGTCCCTCGTTGCTCTCTTCTCCCACTCAGGGTCTCTCGGGACCAGCCTCGGTCCCCATCACTGCCCTCCCCAGGATCATCTAAACCCACCTTCTCTGGCCCACGATCACTGGATCTGAATGATCCACATTTGCTTTACTGTACTCAATAACCCCCACCACCTCTGATCCAACTCAAAGTCAAGGATCTGCCTGCCTGGCATTCAAAGCCGGTGTTCTCGGTGGTCTTCAAGATGGGCAAACAAAGGGCACAAGCAGAAACTGTGTGGGGACATCACCTTCCCCTCAGGGTTTTGTGGTGAGGCTACGGACGCTGCTTCCAAAAGGGCTGTCCCACTTTGCCGTCAGTGGGAAAGGGCCCTGTCCCCGATGCTCTCAATAAACACAATTTTAAAATTCTCCATGTCTGAAAAGGAAAACAGTGAAGAATTCATTGAAAGTGAGACCACCAAACCCTATTTCTTGCTCAGATTTTGGCAGCCGAACTACTGACAGAATGTTAACCTCTGGTCTAGTTTTCCTGAATAAAAGCGTCACAGAATTGCCCAACCTTACCATAGAGCAAAGTGTCTGTGAGACTCTCACAGGCTTACAGAGAACGGAAGAACCGATCCGAACTTGGGGAGGCTCCTGGCAGGTGGGCGGGGGGCGGGGGGCGCGTGCCTCATGGAGAACTGTACAGCGGTCCCTATGTGCCTGCACCCCTTACGGCCCAGGCCAGCAGCCTCAGGACTTGGGTCGGGGGCACTAAGCATGCCCCCATAGTTCTGAGGCCTGTGGTAGTGAAGGGCACAGGGTCCCAGTCAGGAAGTAGCTTTGTCCTCACCCCCAGAGCCTTCCCTGAGGCCAGGTCACCTCCACACCGTAGGACTCCTCACACCATCGTGGTTACCCAGGAGCCCAGGGAAGCGGGCTCAGCCACGCACCCTCTGCTCAGGGTCAGCTGTGAGTCGGTCAAGGTGGCAGCCAAGTACTTACAGAGATGAGGAGCCCTTCAGCCATCGACTCTGCTCGCCGAGTTTTCTAGACTCAGCCAATTCCCTTAACGTGGTAGACAGAAGAAACGGCTGTTTACGTGGAGCACAGTAGGCCTCTGGGGCCACGCGGTGCCAAAGGAGTTCAATTCCTAGCCTTCAGCAGAGACGAGCCAACTAGGGGACTACGTGAGAGCCAGTGCCATGAGCCCCTCGCTGGAAGGAACCCCAGTTCCCAGCTGCCACGCGCAGCCCTGGTGGACAGGATCTCTGGACGGGCGCAAGGGGGGACGACGCTCAGCCTTCCCTTTCTGAGTGGGCACATAGAAGGTAAGAGACAGCTGGCCGTACCTCCTCCAGGAGCCAGGATGCCTGTGCAGAGGCTCCTTACCTCGTATAGTTGGGGACGGCAATGAGGTCCACGTGGGAAGCCACAACGGCACCAGGAGCCACAGTGGACAGCACACCCCTTCCCTGGACAGACTTCCAGACCTTCTCTTGAGACACTAAAAGGGGCTGGGGTGTGGCTCCGTGGTAGAGCGCTTGCCTAGCATGCTCAAGGCCCCAACTTTCAGCCCCAGCACCCCACTAACACAAAATAAATAAATAAATAGAAACAGTGTACATCACTAATCTAACATGACTTCAATGGCAGGACACAATCTGACGCATAAAGGCTAAAATATGGAGACAAATTGTGCCTTAGAAATAACAGAAGACTCTCAGTAGCTCAGGAGGCTGAGGCAGAGGATAGTGAGTTCAAAGCCAGTCTCAGAAAAAGCGAGGCCCTAAGCCACTTGTGAGACCCTGTCTCTACATAAAATACAAAATTGGGCTGGGGGTGTGGCTCAGTGGTTGAGTATCCCTAAGTTCAATCCCCAGCACCACCTGCCTCCCCCAAAATGAAACGATAGAATTCAAACTGGATCACAGAAGCAACTCAGTCTCACAGACTGACTTTTCCCAGGGGAAAGGATACTTACTCTTTTTACAAAGAACTGACTACTTATTTTCTATTGGAAAGATGTCACTAGAGAGTGAGAGGCGGTTCCCCTGGGCCCTGTGCTTCTGCATGCGTGTCACCCACTCACTGGCCCCTGCAGGAGCCCTGCTAAGGTTTCCAGGGTGGGTCTTTCCGTGGTAGCTGTCTTTCTGTTTCCACTAGCCCCTCTGCAACAAGACCTTCAAAGACAGTGGCCTGCAGCTGGCCAGGGCAGGTCCTCTCTGTCCCCGCCTGGAGAAATACTGTGGCTTGGTGCATACCAAAATTCCCGGGGACTCAGCAGGTGGACTTGGAATGCACCAGGGGCCCAACAAGCTCAGGTCACTCATCAACCTTCCGCCAAACGCACCTTCCCAACTGCTGCCAGGCCCCACCTGGCAGCAGTCGCCACATCCTTGGGACAATTGAAATGTACCACCCGAGCAGTTACAGGCTGACCTGGTAATCCGTTTCTACCACGTCGTGCTCTCAGCAAGCCACAGGCCAGCTGGAAATACCACTGTCCCATCACACACTCGTCTGTGGAGAGGGACGGGGCTCCTCTCCCCCGACTCATGCCCCCTCACGGGGAGCCTGGAGGTGGGGGCACAGCTACTGTCCCAAGGCTGCATCAGGGTGGGCTATGGCCATGGCTTTTGGCTGACCGGTTGCTGGAAGGAAACTTGGGAGTGTGAAGGAGACTCGCCAACCTCAGGCATTTGTACCAGATTCTTTCCAGTGGGCAGGCAGCGCACGAGGTGGGTGCTTTGATCCATTATTATTTTCGGCATTGCTATTTTGACAGAATCACCCTTGTTTATCGCAACATGAGAAAACTGGGTTTTATTGTCTGCCCTTACTAGCAGAATGCTTATGGGAGGCAAACAGGAAGAAGTGTGGTGGGGAAGGGCTGCCGGACCTTGTGGGCAGCCCTGAGCTCTCTGGCTCTCAAGCATCTGTCCACTCACAACTGAAGGGGGCGCTATGCATGCCACCAGAACAGCTGCTCGTCCCTGCTACTAGGTGCTGTGGGCTCATGCTAATCCACAGGCACAGGAGGGACAGGCGGCCTTCTCTAGCAGGGCCGGCATCTATTGACCTGTGGTTCTGGACACAGACAGTGGAGCACGCAGGAACAGCACGGCAGACACGCAGAAAGGAAAAGGACCTAAGTAATGAAGAGCGTTCCAGAGTGGGGACCCTTGCTGAAGACAGACTTACAACTGCCGTTCTCACAAAAGCCATCTGTGTCATGAGAACCATGCTTGGGAATCTTAACTTTCCTCTGAAGTATTTCTGTAACTTGTCTATTAGATTGGACTAGTTCTGCCCCTCATGACACGGGGCACGTGCACGTGTGCCCAGGCACACACATGCACCCATCTCCACTTGTGTCTGTAGAATAAAAAAACGTAAACTTATTGGAAGGAGCCACATCAGAAAGATCACCCCTGCCATCATGGAGATGATGGGGGACTCAGCAAGTCAAAGGAGAATCAAGGCAAACCACAGCAACTGGACCACTAAGGGGACCCAAAAAGCAAAGGAGTCAGTGTGCCTGACAGAAGAGGAAGAGGGGGCTGCAGGACAGGCTGCTGAGCACGAGGTGAGCCGCCATCTATGGCAACCGAGACCAGGATCAGAGGTGGCACCTGACTGAGGTGGTGAGACCCACCCACCGGGAGCGGCTGTTGTGCCTGGGTTGCCCAGGTAGGGACAGGCTTCAGAACTCGACCAGGCCTGTGATGGAGACAGTGAGAAGGTGCCAGGGCCCTGTCGTGCCACCTTGAAAACAGAAAGCACACACAGGAGCCTGCGTGACTGGGCACTGGTGTTCTAGGGGGATCTGATTTCACAACCTGGAAAACCACAAGTGAATTTTCAGAAATGCAGACAGTCACTCTGGGGGGCCCGGGACACCTTACCTTCAGCAGTGCCAGAGAGCCCATCAGCTTTGAAGTTGCTGGTACTTTTCTTCCTTCGATGCTTCTTTCTGTTGGCGTGGGGGGAGGGGGGCGGGTCGAGCTTGGGGCTGGTGGAGCTGGAGATACTGGGGCTGGAGCACACGGAGTCACCCAGTCCTGTGTCTGCCACCGGACCGGAAAAGGCAAAAAAATGCAAAGGTAAGCACAGAGAAAGGAGACTTGGGGAAAACACTCAAGCAATGCTCCTCCAGCACCACACAGGGGCCTGCACATGGTGCCCAGTCATGAGGTGGCAGATCAGAGGCCCAGAGCCTCCGCAGGAGAAGATCACGGTCCCCTGGCCACCTGCAGGCACCGATTTCTGTATCACCTTCATGCTAGGAGAATTTAAAATCTTCTACTTTGCATGATGGGAGTCTTGAAAACTCATTTGCAGAATATATGATCTCTGCAAAAGGGAAGCAGGGAGCTTGTGGTTTTCAGTTGATTCCCTTTTCCCATAATTACCTTGACACACCAGAAAGAAACAAAGGCAGCCAGGAAAGCACGAGAGTGCACCTTTAAGGGACTGACTGTGTGCATGCAGGATGGGGGACCTGATTCCTTCTTCTCCTCAACACTACATATGAAGGTAGCTCCAACTGCAGTTGGTGAAAATCGGTGTGCCCTTTCTCCCACCAGTGTCCTGCGATGGCACTTGAAAACCCATTAGGTAGACCCATCTGTTTTTAATGCACTGGAGCTAGTTATAAAGGTTTGAAAGCCAATGTGCCCATAGGATCACTCACTGCCAGCAAAACTCTTAATTTATTACCTATCTTTATCTTTACCAAAGAGAAGGTCCAAAGTGATGCTAAGTGACCAGAAAAGAGCATAGAATTGTACAACAGTTGGAGGAGGCGACAGGACACCTTCCCCTCGGAGTCATGAGAATTCTCCATTCATGATTCAGCAGGTTAACAACCTCAGGGACAGAAGGCTCTGCCCCACTTCAAGTACTCTCAGCCTCGACTCTGAGCACCAGCTGCTGGCCAGCCACTTTCTAGGTGCATGGGATCCATCCCCGAGGACACCATATCAGGATCCCTGCCTGGAGGTCCTGGCACAGTAGCTGGGCACCCATCGTCCCCCAGTGCTCCCTGCCCCAAGGCTGACACCCTCCACTCCGCCCGACACCTGGCCTCTCTCTCTGGGGGACTGCACCCAGGGGACAGTGGGCATCACGTCCCCTCTGGCTTGCTGTTTGACTATGATGGCCAGGTGTGGGGGAAGCGTGCAGCTTGCTATCAGACACGGTTCGACCCCTGCCTCCAGGAGGCCCAGACCCTGGCTCAGTCTTTTCCAAAGCCGCCCCTCGCTCTGTGCATGGCCTCTCCGAGTAGCCACCTGCTGTCCACACCTTGGGCTCCAGGCCCCCCCAGGCCACCTGCCCGCATTCCCGCTTAAAGCTGGCCAGGCTTCCCAACGCGGTGGCTCTCGCCCGGGTATTCACATACTGATGCCACCGAGTGTCAGGTGAAAGCGGAGGCACTCCAGGGGGAAGAAGGAGCTGGACCGTGTCATTCCTGTGCCCGTTTCCAGTGTTCTGAAGCCACGGTGGCCCTGGGGTACGGAGGCTCAGACCTCACTTTGTCTTGAGGCAGCCCTGCGGGGTACTTGGTGCTCAAGCCTGACCGAGGCCTACTGCACATTTTAAATCTCTTCTGCTCTCATGTGGTCATGGATGCGGAGGAGCAGTACCAGGTCCTCCCTGGCGCCTGTGGGTGCCGATTTCATTAGTCCACCCTGTCCGCAGGGGCCCTCCATTCACCAGGCTGAGTGTGCTCCTGATACCTTCCTGCTGTCCTTCTGCCACTGAATATTGGCTCCCTCCCAAATCACCCCGTCTCTTTCTGAACTGTACGTAGAGCCCACATTTGGGACTATCTGCACTTGGCTGCCAGATGACCTGTTCCCCAGGCCACATCAGCGGCTGGCTTTCCCTGCAGGTGGTGAAGAGCATCAGGACAGGCCCTCCTTCCACTGTCTGGAGGGTCCTGTCCTTGTTACAGCGTATCATATCCTTTCTAGGACACTGGAATGTGCACAGAAACTGGAGGGTCCACATGACTGATCTCCACCCACGTGTGGAGCATCATTCCTTGACTCGCTGTTCTACTCTGCAACTCCTCACTCACTAGCTGTGTTCTACGTGAGCACCTGGTCTTCAGAGCTGCTGCCTTCCAAGCCGACACCTGGTTATTCTTCACAACTGTCTCACTGTTCTCGGCCGTTCTGAGCATGCACCTCCATATCCATCCAAGTAGATGAAAACAACAGAAAGGGTGGGGTGGAGATTCAGCCTGACTCCTTCAGATGCACCCATCAGTACGTGGAAGCTTCTCAGAATCATTGCTGAGCCAGGTAATGCACACTGACTCTGTGTCCAGCTCAGATGCCTTTGAATTTGTCCATAAAGAAACCCAGGGACAATCTTGACAAACCCTTTGCTGAAGGGTAGAGGGGTACCCTACTCATATGTATTTTTGACAACTTAAAAACAACAAAGGGACATCTGTTTGATGTTTCTCCTCTTTGAGGAACTGTCCCTGTTCAGAGCAGTCACTGTTTCCTTCTCTACATGCATGCAAAGTGCTTCCTTCAGGATGCTCTGTGGGGACCTTAAAGTCACTAGCACGCCATGGCTTAGAGTTCACCCAGCTGGGAATCAAGATGAACGTGTCTTCCAGGCAGTACCCTCCCTTCGGGCTGCAGAAAGCCTTTACCAAGGCAATTGACAAGAACCTGGCCATCTCGCCTTCCGTCTTCTTGGAATACTCAGTTCAGGAAGGGACTCTGGCACACCAGGAGGGCGGCAGCAAGTGGCTTCCGGGAGAGAGACTGTATGGAGATGATGCCACCCCCTCACCAGGAGGCCACCAGGGCCAGCCCCATCAGCACCTTCGATGGCTGAGATCTGTCCCCAGTGGCTCTGACTGCTCCAAAACCACTGGTGCTCAGCTAGGAACGCCCTCTCAGTTGGCCATGAATGAAAACACTCCGTCCCTCTCCCTCTTTCTGCAGGACTAGGATTGAACCCAGGAGTGCTCTACCTCTGAGCTGTACCCCCAAACCTTAAAAAAGTTTTTTCAGACCAGGTTTTGCTAAGTTGCTGAGGTGGCCTCAAACTTGCCCTTCTCCTGCCTCAGCCTTCATCGTGGTCAGGGTGGCTGCATCACTGCACCTGGCAGCTGAGGATATTCTGGGTGATCAAACTGAGCAGAGTGGAGGCGCTACGGTCGCCAAGGGCTGAACCCTGAGATGAGGAAAAATGCCCTATGGGCAGGAGGGCCCGCCACCTACAAAGAACACCCGGTCCAATGTCAGTAATGAGAAAGCCCGGGACGGTGACTCGTCTTCCAGTCTCCACCTCTCACACTCTGTCCTTGGGCTTATGTTCGGTCAGAGCAAACCGCCTCCCATTGGTGGCCTCTTTTTGGAAGGCCCGCTCCACCTTGTGCCAACTAAAAGCCTGGCTCTCCCGGGGACGTGCCTCCCAGGTGATGGCACTGTGAATCCCACCCACGTACCGTCCGTCCTCCTTCCCCTCAATGTCAACCCCAGGTCCCTCATGATCGTCTGTCCCTCAGCCTGCTCTGCCAGTCCCCACAGAGCCCAGGTCATGTCTTGGGCTTAACCTGTCCTCACCTGTGACAACAGCTCTGTCCTCCTAGGTGGCCTCTGTCCTCCATAGTCAAGCTCTCTTCTCCCCAGGGCTTGCAGTCATCCCCCAGGGCTGCCCGCAGCAGGACACCCACCACACTAGCACCCAGGCTCATCTAAGGACCCCTGGAGTATTCACAGCCTGACACCCCATCTCCCCACACCCAAAGGGGCCAGAGCCACACACGACTTGAAACCTGCCCTTCAAACTCAGCTCAGTTTCCCTCTCCCTCCATCTTTCCTGACCAGGTCACCTGACTTTCCCCAGCCCTCAGACGCTGTACCTGCAACTGGGCCGGGACCAGGGGAGCATGCTGACCCGCCTCCACTCTGGGGCCCTGGTCTGTCCACCAGACTCACCACACCTCTGTAGAAATCCCTCCCCTGCCTTCCTGTGGCCACATCCTCGATCCTCATACTCCCTGTTCCACAGTTGCCCCCAGCCTCACTTTTCACTATGAAGACAAAGAAAAGCATCAACCAGAAGCAAGCGCCCTGCCATGCCAGCCCCAGTCCCCCATTCTGGACCTCCTAGGCCTGCGAGCTGCACCCGCCTGCTCGCTGACACAGGGCCTCAGCTCTGGCATTTGTCCCCACGCAGGGCACCAGGTGGCTGGACTGTCCCCCTCCCTCCACCCCAGGCCCCGCCCACTTCTCTTAGATTCTGCTCCCTTTAGAGTAAAGTCCCCAGGCCTTTGCCTCCTCACTGCTGCCCATAGCTGTCCTTGCTCCAGCCACTGGCAGGTCCTTGCTGAGGCCACCAGTGCCCCGCCCCAGCTGGCAGGTAGACAATCCTTGATGGGCAGCATCACGTCTCCACTCCGCCCACACAGCCCTCCTTCCCTCCCAGCCCAGGGAACCACGGTGAGGCTCCAGGCCAGGCAGCTGGGAAGGAGCCACGAGGTTCTGAGCCCCGGAAGCCCAGGGGAACCTTCTCTCCACCTGGCCTCGGCTGCTGCCTGCCCAGCCTGTCGCCCTGGCTTGGTGGCTCTATCCACAAGGTGACAACATAGCACCGTGCATCTGTGTTGACTGGACACTGCTCTCCACCCCACGGACGCAGGGCCTTGTGTATCCCTTCCACCAGGTTGTGAAGGGGGCACGCTCCGCATGGATGACGGGAGGGGTACTTGCTGAGCTGTTTGTAGAGCTAGCCTTCACGCAGGCGAGAAACTGCTTTTGGTGTGTAACAGAGAAGCATTTCAACTGTTTTTTTTTTGTTTTTAATATTTTTTTAGTTGTCAATGGATCTTTATTATTTAATCTACTTGCTCAGCAAGTGCTCTACCACTGAGCCACAACCCCAGCCTTCAACTTTGTTTCAAAACTAACCACAAGCATGCTTTAGTGTCAGACTGCTGTCCTGTGAATTTCCAATCCTTTGGAAAGGAAGGACAGGAACAGAGACTGTGAGAAAGCATCTCCCTTATGCTCAGCCCTCACTTACTGAGCGTGCTCTG